CGGCTTTTCCGTCGCTTTGATTATTCCAATCAATGTTTCCAAGCTCGACGTGACCCTTTCCATACGCGTGTCCAGGTTATTCAACCTTTCCTCGGCGAGTTGCTGTCTAGAATCCTCCCCTTGTCCCTGAGCTACACCTGTCAAAGCTGGAGCATTCTGAAGATTTTTGCGGAGAATTTTGGTTCATTGTTGTCGAAGTAGATGCTTGTTGAATTTGTTGAAATTTTTGTTGAGATTCGGTGATTTGTTGTTGAATGATTTGATGTTGCTTTTCGATACGGTTCTGGAATAGTCTTGCTCTGAGTAATGTCTGATTTCCTGGCCGATGTCTTCTGCTTTGTGATACTGGAGAGGATATTCGGACTTGAGTGGGAATCTCAGGGGAAGACAGATGAGGAGGAAGTTCTCGAAGGGGTGAACTTTGAGGCGGTGAGTGTGGAAAAGGACGAGAATTCTGACAGAGATCAGAACTTGAGACAGAACTGTTGGGAGAGTGCCACTGTGTACTTTGTGTGGAGGAAACTGAAACATCAGAGTCCTCCTCGGGTAAACTTGGTAAAGAGTATGACGGAATGTTGAAGATACTGTTTTGTATGAGAGACTTATGATGTAAAGAATACGGGAACTTTTCTGAGACTTTTAACTTTTACTTTTGACTTTTCTGAATACTGTTCAGATTTTGTTTATACGGATTTGAAACTTGTATGTATTTTGCTATGAAAGATAAAAATAACAAGATAAGTCTCTTAGGGAGACATAAAAGGATGTAAATACAAGCGCTATTTATAATAAATTTTTTGAGTGTATAAACAAAGGTGTAATAGAAATGATAGATATAAAACTTATTGCTATGTAACTGTTCTGTGACTGATCATTGATCCGTTGATAAATAGTATCTAAAGAAACAAAGGAAGGAATTTCTAAATCTAGATCCTACATCGATAGAGTATCTAAAATAAAATAAAATTTTCGATTTTGTTTCACAGAGTTTCTGGGTTGAGTTTGACATCCAGCTCGCCGGGAGGAACCCCTCCCGACGAGCTGGTTTAAAATCCAGCTCGCCGGGAGGAACCCTCCCGACGAGCTGGCATGTAGATGCTTGTCGGGAGGGGTTCCTCCCGACGGTGTGGCCTTGCCCCTCTAGGCTGAGGGGGGCAGGGTTTTTTTTTTTACATTTTTTGCAAAAAAATCCCCCTCTCCCGCGTGTGCCCACCAGTAAAGGGCGGGTATCCACAGATATCCGCGCGGATACCCGCTAGCGGATGCGGATGCGGATGTGGATGCTGATGCCTGTTTCCGCTGAAATTGTCAGCGGATATCCGCATCCATGCGGATATCTGGATTTCAATTGACCATCTCTAGTTTCTTTTCAACCAACACCCACTAGAAGAGCTGTATCTCAAAATAAGTGGGGTAAATGGTCTGAAGTGGGCCTCAGAGAGACCTTGCTAAGCCACCTCATGTACCATGAATCAAAATTTAAAACACTCTGAAATGTTCCTGATGACAAACACAGGATACTTAATGGTTGGCAACCTTTTTCACACATGTTCCTTAGGCAGAAGGAATCTTTTTTGCGCATGTGGTCTTACAAGAGATGAGGATCCTGAGGTCCAAAGGTAGCTCTTTGTGAAGGCTTTGGAGAGTTATTTTGGCAAGGCCGTGGGAGAAAAAAAGATAGACAGCCAGATGAGGTGCAATTGCAAAGATCTGGTCCACAAATCACTGCACACTGGGCTTGAGATCTGGTGAGCAGCTCACTGAAAACCTGGAGAATGATCATCGTGAGAATTGATTTAAATTCACTCCCTGAGAATACCAAAAAGGAATCCTCAGGTATAAAGTATACAAATATTTCTCTGCCAACAAATACTGGATTGCCCTACATATCAAAAATCTTGATTTTACCAGATTTGCACGAGGCTGCTGAGTAGGGGCTTTCTGGGCTCCTGTTAGAAGTGTCCTCCAGGAACTATTCTGAATTTTGCTAATTCACAGCCCACACAAACATCCAGGATGTCTCATGACCCAAGTGATTGAAAAGTGTTGCAATCTTGTCTTTTCAACTCATCGCTCAAAAATCAAGAATCTTCTCACCTTTCTCTGAATGATATATTCATTCAGCATTTGATGAGTAGATAGGTAGTATTTGTTTGTCACACACATTTATTCAATAACCTTGTTTAATAGTCAAATCATAATCACCCCAGTATCATATGAAAATAGCCTGGTTGATAGTATTGTCTTTTATTCAGCCTGATTATTTATTTCATTATTATCAACCACATGTTGAGAATTATTGTGTTTTGTCTTTTTAACTGCTGCTGGAAAAATGAAATCATTGGTTCAATTCATTTTTCCACCAGTGTCACCTTGAGTTCCCAAGAAAGTGTGCTGCACCAAGTCTGTTCAAAGAAATCTCCCTCCCCCCCCCCCATCATTGGCTTCAAATCTCATCAACAAGTGAAGCACTGACTGAAGCCACAAATGAAATATTGTTTTCCACATCTTGCACAGTTGTTCATGGAGATTGTGCAGGCTGTGGGTCATGAAACATCCCTTTGACAAATCAAGGGCAAATCAAAAATCTGGGAACAGCTTGGATTTCCAGAACCAGACACAGGCTTATGGCCAATCTTCAGTCAAGATTTCAATCATGTTTCTGGGCACAGTTGGAGTGTATTTAACATGTCAAATTCTGTATGTCCCATGTAAAAACCCCCAGTGGTACTATGGTTGGGCTGTTGAAAATGATGCAGGTGTGGCAATCATCTACTGTTAATGTCTTCAATTTGGATGTGATATGTGTTTCTGCATTGCAATCAATTTTGATATTGGTAAATTACTAATGATCTTATTCTGTAAAGTTAGTGTTCATTTTTGAAACTTGTTTTTTTTCTGCAAAAAGATGAGTACAGTCAAACCTGTCTAAGGGCATACCTTTCTGTGTGCATAACCTGTATAAGGGGATAGTGAAGGGCTTCTCCCAAAACTTGATTTTGCTGCAAATTCCCTCTCTCTAAGGGCATAACCTGTTTACAGGCATACATAAATTCTTCTCCCAAGGGGTATGCCCTTAGACAGGTTTGACTGTATTTCTTTCCAGAAATTAATTGGGGTTTCATTTTTAGGTGTAAATAGACAGACATATGAGAGAATTTGATTTCCCACAGTCCCTGTGTTGTGAAGTTCTCATGTTCAAGGGAGCTGTTCTGTGTGGCAAGCTCCCTAGTAACCAAACAATCCACACTTGACTGATATCCATAAGTATTGTGATCTGAAAATCCAAAAAGGGGCTTTCTAGTGATTTCACACTGTTCAATTTGAAATCACTTTGGTCAAATCAGTATGCAAAAAAAAGAGGGACTTGGATAAACAACTCCCTGAAGTTGGAGTAGCAACAGGACCCCGGCAAAACCAGTGGGGTGTTTGAAAATTATGGATTTTGGCAAAGCTCATGTCCTGGGTCCCCACGGGGAGTTAAACTTTCAAGGACATTCATCCCTTTTACAAAAGTATACTCAGGCAGAATTCCCCTAAAAAAAGGGGGTGTGGGGACTTCCCCTTCTTTTAAATGTCTGATCTGAAGCCAAATGGACCACTTCCTCCTGTCAAGATCTGCAGGACTCCAAAAGAAACAATTTAGAGCCTTGAACACTTATAGGTTTCCATGAAACAAATCTGGCCTCTTTTGGGTCTAAATCAACAGCTACAAGGCTCTCAGATTGTCGAGATGAGGAAGTGCTCCAATGTGAGCAATTTGGATGTTTTTCCAGGCTGACATATACCAAAATGGACTCTTTCATAAGGAAGATTTTTTTCACATATATTTGATGGCTTGTATTCCGACAGTATGTTATGAGCATTTGTGTCATTTCTCACATCCCTTTTTCAACTTGCCCTATATATAATCTATGTATCACATACATGGGGTCTTTGATCCAGGGTCTTGCAGCAAGCAACTTTAATCAAATCTTGGGTAATGGTGGACACTGGCCCCAGCCGTAATGATGCGCATCTATGTAGAGATGGACCCACTGTGAGTGTCCCCTCTAGAGCTCCGGAAGTTGTCTTCCACTGCCTCATCTCTGCATATATGATATAGTGTGCCAGATACTGGCCAAGGACTCAGCAGGACTCCTGGAGATTGCCAGGCCATTTCGGGCGGCCTCGCCGACGGATGATCCGGAGCAATCATCGCTGAAGAGCTGGACTTGTAGTGTGTCGGAAAGGGTTGTCCAGTTGTCTCTCGCAATTTTTTTTTTTTTTTTTTGAAAATTTTTAAATTTTTCTTTGTACTGAACTACAGCCGAGGAGGTACAGCTGTCATCACTAGTTCAGTTCTGACAGGTCCAGTTCAGTGAAAAAATAAAAAATAAAAAAAATAAAAAAATAAAAAAAAATTCGCGAGTCCAAGTGGACAAGACTTCCCGAAATAGCTGTATTTAGTTTTAGCGATTTTTTTTTTTTGGTTTGCTTTTTCCTTTTTTCATGCCGGACGTCGGGTTCCTTTATTCACCTTTTCATACATTTGTCTTCTACAACTGGCTTGTTTCCTTGTGGGTCAACTCCAGCGCCGCGCAAAGGATGTCGAACTGTCGTTTTTTCTCTTTCTTTTTTCTTTTTTTTTTCAGCTGGGTTTTTCTGAAAAAGTTGTCCGGATCCGAATTTATTACATATAAGCTGCCTTTTCAAATCTGCCTTCAATGAGCCATGACAGCAGCTGTCTGCTATGTAGCTGCACCCATCCAATCTCCCCTCGAACAAAACTTGACAAAACCTGACCGGTTACATAACTTACAAAAATCCGATATTAAGTAGTAAAATCTCCCACCATGCTCATGAGCTTGTATGTATTTAAGCCCCTTGGCCTCGTGTCTGCCGGAGTATGTACGATTTCAATTTCATATGCACTTTGCTGCGAAAAGACAGGAAAAGACGTGGGCTGTATGGATTCGATTGACAAATCATTCATGGATCCACATGTGTTGAGTCCCGCCGTGTAAAAAACAGTTGTTCTGTAATGTTCCGTCATTGTAATACTCTTCTTCTTCCCAAGTTCAGGATGTTTGTTTGTTTCTGATTGAAAGTCGAATAAAATAAAAAAAGGCTCCCGCTGAAAGCTGGCGGCCAGTTTATTATCATCATCATCATCAAAGAAAGCAGGACTTGCCCATTCGATCGATCATTTGCCACTGCTGATCAGCCTATACTCGACTCACTCTTCAAGCCAGCAGCCGCCTGAAGACTACTGACACCAGCTCATCAGCCTCAACAATCTGCACACACCCTTCAACCCAGCCAGCCAGCCAGCCAGCCAGCCCGAGGATCTTTTTCATCTCCTCAGCCCTCGATCCGCGCCGTCTCTTAAGTACAAAAATAGGCTCAGCTGCCCACATCCCAAACAAACCATCCCCCCCCAAAAGAAAATAATAATAATAATAAAGTCTCCAGCGTAGATCCAGTCGCCAACTAAGATCCATCAACTTGTCTCCTTCACTGCATCAGCATCACCCATCCCCATATCAATCACTCACTCAAATTCTCACAGTCTTCCTAAACCATCCCACCGGACTCGCATACGCTCAAATACTAGCTGCTTCCTCCCTCCTGTATCAAAACAACACTCTCGAACCATCAAAAAAACAAAACAGATCAATCCTATCTATCAAGTAACATATACAAACACAAAAAATAATACATACAAACCTCGATTATAAACCTTTATCTTTCGGAAGGAAACACACACACACACTATAAAAAAAGAACGAAACGAAACGAGAAGAGAAAAGAGAACAAGCGAAAGGAACGAGATGCATCGATTGGTATACCTGAAACTGAAGGCGAAGGCGCTCCAAGACTCCTCCAACCGATCACCCACAAAGTCATCATCATCCGAAGCTGCCAACAATCACCAAGCTTCCCCCAACAGCTTGCCCGTCCTCGAGCTCTCTCTGCCCGACTCCAAGAGCTTCAGAGCTTCAGTCATCCTCGTATGTCTCTTCTATTCTCCTCCCCCGTTTCAGTCTTCCCGCTACGACTCGTCACAGTCGTTGTCTATCTTCGCTCCCCTCTCTCTCTCTCTCTCTTCTTCTTCTCTATCCAGAGAAACATATGTAAATTCCTCTCGTTTTTCGTCTATCGATTGGAACCCGAGAAACGCAGTTCGGGAGAGGAATCATCCCTCCAGCATGAACAGGGAAGGAAGGAGCCAGGAGCTGGGTCTGCCGATCGCTCCCTCTTGCCGCTCGCTCCCCTATATGTATCAACATTCATCCTCCTTGGCTTGTCTTCTTCCCCGGCTGCTCCCACCCGAGCTTCCCACCAGTTTTCCCTTGAATGTTGAATTTCATCACCTCCATCCTTTCCGATCTCACATCTTCTTCTTCTTATTCTTCTACACACACCATCTGTCGATCGATCAGGAGGTGCCTTGTTGAATCCTGTTTGATGTTATTGTACATATATCCACTCACACCCTCACACTCTTGACTGGTGTGCAACACATGTTGTACAACACCAATAAATTCATATATTCCCTCTTTCCTGCGTCTTTTTTTGGGATCAATCCTTTGTTGTGATGTCTCATCATCCACTCTTGCATACAACAACCCACTTCTCCCGTTAACCCTTGCTGCAATTCCTCTCAGACTGCTCCTCTTCTCTCCCCCCCCACAAACACCTTTCTCCTCTCGGATTCAGCCTAAGCTCTAACCCATTCGCTCGAATTTCCATCCTTATCGCTTCTATCATCTAGCCCGATCTCTCACGTCGATTTACTCTGCTAAGAACGAATGGCGAACTTCTACCCATCAACAACTTTCGCCAACGTCTGAGGTGAGCTCATCTCAACTGGCTCATCATTCATACTCCTAAAATAACATCTACTTCTGCGGCTAACATGATTCATTTCTGTTCGACTACCCTCTCACCAGACACGAACTTGAGACCGGACATATCACCCAAGAGGACGAGAGTATCCTCATGAACCAATACCGCCAACAGTATCTCAACGAATCACCCTCCGCTGTACATCTTGATTATAGCTCTCCAATCTCACCCACCGAGCATCACCCAGCTTATTCACCCAAAAAGTCACCCTCCACTACTATCAACGCTCTCTTCTCTGCAAATACCTCCGCACGTGACGCGGCATACATTAGAAAAACTCTCAAAATGTCCCATAAAACATCCTCTGCGAATAAAGACAAACCTGGATTTAAAGAACCCTCGCCTACCACTCAACCTGCTGTGATGATACCTAATAATAATAACCCCCTCAAGACAGCACGCCCAAGAACTCCACAATACCATTGGATTATCATACCTCAATCTACTCCAGTCATCCAAGCAACCCTGATCATTTGGATCGGATGGATGAGTGGAAGTCGAGGAGGAGGTCGAGTTGACGCCTACCCAATTCCATAGGCTCTCGCTTGCCGTCGACCGCATCCTCGATTCACACCTGCTGTCTTCAAAGATACCCGGAAGTGCGGAGTCTCAATCAGATTCGGTCGATCAACACAGCTCTCTGGCCGTCGCTTCTCAACTCGATGCCGAATTTCGCGTCCATGAAGAACTTTTCAGGGCCTTACCCGACAACTCCTCCTCCTCATCTCCACCCACCAGCTCCTTCTCCTTGTCTATAAACCAACCAAACTCTTCCCAGGATACTCCCTCCAGCCCAGAGAAAAATCACTTCTCTGATCCCCAGCCTCATTCGTCCCAGGAACTGCATTCCATGGCCCTCTCGATCAATTCGGCCCCATCATCTGATGATACCCTGAACAGTGAATTATTCCAGGAGAATCTCGAGCTCATCTTGCCGGAAGATGGATTTGAAGATGATTCTTCGGTCCTCCAATTCGCCTCCGAACTAGATGATCTTCCCCAGCCATCACCATTCCTCGACAGAGAGCAAATCCTCCCCTTCATTGATCTAACCTACGACGAGGTTCTTTTTATCCATCAGACCCTTGTTTCACCCTCCCCCCATCATCAACCATCGAAGCACTATGGAAGCAAAGCCAAAAAATCAGCCCACCGTGTCGACATGTCATCATCACCCACACCCTCACATAGTCGTGCTACATCTCATCCGCGTAACCTATCGACATCTCCTTCGCTTAGCAGTCTGGCCGATCCACATAGCTCACTTGGCAGTCAGGATCCCATGCCTCCCATCCTGTCTCCTCGTTCGAGTGCGCTTCAGCAGCGGCTCAATCTGGCTAAATCTGCCGGTATCGGCACCTGTCACAAGATGCGCACACTCCGTCAACAGTCAAACGAAACTCACTCCCCCGTCGAATCCTCTCCCATCACAAACCACAATCATTTCCCCCTACTCACTTCCCCTTCTGTCTCGGACAGTCCTGATGTTTCTTCCTTTCCACTCACCCCTCCTACCCATCACTATGCCCGGTTTCCTGGGGCCGAACATCCATGTATCCCCTCGCCTCCTATCAGTGCCGGTAAGTCTCATCACAACCCCAGTCTTGAGAAACATAAAATTTATTTTATTTTTCTTGTGTGCCAGATTTAGCAGCCAGTGACTCGAAGGAAGTCCGTCCCAGGAATTTCAACTCTCGTGCAGGTCGACCGATACCCACTACGATCCTTTTCCGGGATGTGGAAGCTCAGGCAGTTGCAGCCAATGCTGCCCTCCACAAAACGGAGTCGGAAGTTAAGAAAGTCCCATCGCGGAAGAGGATGATCTCGAGGGCGCAGATCGGCGCGCCCAAGTTATTATCATCATCGGCTGAGATCACCGGGATTCAACTCGAACCTACCGGAAGTGAAGGCAGACAGAGCTTTACCCAGAAGACTAAAGCACTCTCTAGAGGGACTTTCAGGATAAGACTCAAGAAGAAACGGCCCTCTGAATCGGCTATCAATCGCCATGAGACGGGCTTTTCTGTCGATGAACCACGCTCACCGATGAAGTCTTTCGGTAGTAACCCCAATCTACGCGAAGGCACATGGATGACGGAGAGTATGAAAGGTGGATTATTTCATGCTAGAGAGTCCTTCACCGACTCGCCCAGTAGTCAACTCAATCGATCCGACTGCAATCGCGACCAAGTCTCGTCGCCTACTTCCTGGAAAAATCCACATGCTTTGACTTCGCTTCGCAAACTCATGGATCGCCATCGGAACTCGCTCTCGAACTCGGGTCAACCATCGAAGGTTGATGGAGATCCCAACAGTCCAGTCCCTTCTACCGGTACATCCAGTGACCTTGTCCCTTCGTCCGAGAAAGCCTCTTCGCCTCCTCGGCCTCGTCGGTCCTGTACCACGCCCCATTCCGATCAAGACTCTCAGAGCGGATGGAAATCGTTCTCTAAATCTCTCTCCCAGCTCTCCAAGTCTCGGGAGAGTGGGATCGAAGAGGACCACCAGTCGATCCCTGTCCAACCTCTCAAACTCCATCATCATCATCAGCCTGATAAACGACGCCCTCAGAGTCCGAAGCCGTGGTTTGTGGTCGATCATACCCAGCCGGAGAGGCCGCACCGCTCGGAAGAGACGGTGGCTAAGACGGCCTCCAGTTTGTCGGTGGATGATGAGCCAGAAGACCCGACTCCAGAGATCGAGGAGACCTGTGATGTGTCACTCAACATTACCGGACCTGTGGATGAGCCAGCGAGTAGTGGTGAGCCTATGGACAGACGGAGCTCGGCGACGAATGAAGAGAGGGAAGCCAATAAAGGCGGGTCGAAGTGGCTGGAAGTGCAGACGACGGAGCCATACGAAGGGCGCAGTGACTACGCCTCCTCGATCCTTGACCTCTACGGCTGCGAGCCCAACTCGCCCGGGCCGACGAGTCCGAGTCAAGATCCTAGTCGACGGAGTAGTCTTAGTCGCTACAGCACCACCTTCGAGGAACCTTCTCCTTCCCGACCGGCTTCTCCGATCTCTTCCGATCCTCCAGGCCTGCTCCTCAGTCATCCGATCGAACCCACTACCTCGGCTACTTCGACACCGGCTCCGATCGTCCTTCGTCTCTCAAAGCTCTAATGTGCTGATGACCATCTCCTTCTTCATCAGCAGATCAGCAGACAGCATCAGCATTCGGACAACGAATTGATGCCACTTGGGCCAACAGCTTCAAAGCTCAACGAGGTTCTCCAAGTTCGATCCCACTCCCAACTCGCTACTCGAGCTCGACCACCACCATTCTCCGCAAGCGTTTCTCGACCAAAACTTGCCGAAAGTTCCGCTTAGTTTGTCCACCAGTACTGCTCTTACTGGTCATGCCACTTCTTCTAATCCCAGCTCGGCTCCCAATCAGTCCCTCGCGCGCTCTCTCGATCGTCATCGATTCGCCCCAATAGGCTCGCACACCGTCGATCCCGTCGCCCCAACTGCTCATCATCCGCTCAAATTCGACGTCGTCGATGATGATGATGATGAGGAGGCTCAGGTCTGGAAACAGATCCTCGACGGTTAAGAGCTCCGGTCTTTCTCTCCTGCGCTTTATTCTTATTCTTTTTTTCGTTTCTTTGTGTTTGTTTTTTGGGCTTCTTTTTTTGATTGTTTTTCTCTGATCATTCTCTCTCTCTCTCTGTTTTTTTTTTTTGGTCGTTGCGTTCTTTCTCCTCTTGTCTTGCTCTCTTCTCCTTCTCCTCCTTCTCCTGCTTTCTTTTCTTTCTCTCGTTATCGCTTCCCATTCCTTTTCCTAGGCGCGGTTCTTTTGGGGCATACATATATACATAAATCTATCTTCTGTGTTTTTTTCGAGATATTACACCCTCACTTATTTATCCACTCACTTCCCCCCACCCTTCCTTTCCTTGTTTTTTTTTTTGTATAAATATATCTATATCTATATCGATCTGAACATATATATATATATATATAGAAAAAGAGAGAGATCTTGATCGTCATACATATACACCACCCTTCCTCCACCTGTCTTTCTTTCTTTCTTTCTTTCCTTTCTTTTCCTTTTTTTTTGATTGATCTGTGTTTGAGTGTCTGTGTTTATGATCTGTTTGTATGTGTCTGTGTAAGTCTTGTTGTTGAATGGTCATATATACTGGACACGTCCGGTTTGGTGCGACAATCGACCGTAGCTAAGTCCCTTGCAGCTTCGGAGGGCCTGGAGGTTTTGGCTGGCGTGCAACAGTCTCTCCGAAGGAGCTGACTTGCCAAAGCCCCCCCCTGGTGGGAGGTTCGTTGGTGTCAAGCACTGGCTGGTGGCAGAGCCACCCCTCCCGAAGGGAGGGACTTATAACGAACTGTGCAGGGGGTGCTCAACTGAGCCCACTCACCAAAACAGGCTGGAAATACACCTTTCCAGCCTGGAGTTTACAAGCTGTCCGTCTCAGCTAGCCCCAGTTGATTCTTGTGTATAATTGAGTCAATAAGTTTTACTAGAACTCATCAACTTGTTTTTGTTGAAAGAACATTTAACATGTTTGTTTATCTTGAGTGGATTTTTCGGAATTGAATGCAGGAGTCGAGAAATCTATATCCATCCTAATAATTCCGGGCTTGATAATGAGGCTGCACCAGGCTTGCAAGATGATGAGCATGAGAAATTTGTGAGCTACTGAGGCGGTTAGGTAGAAGTAGAGCTGAGGAGGTTCTAACAAAGAACTTCCCCAGCAGAAGAAACACTTGTGTATGTAGCTCAAAAAAAGTGAGAGAGCTATTAATGGTTGTGTAACTTGACCAGGCTTCCAGATCCTCTCAGACAAGCACCCCTGCTTTAGTCATCAGTCCCTCCCTGAACATGCCTGCATGTCACGGTTGGGCACTTTTGGTGTGACACACCTTGAGCTGGATGTACAGAATTTACATCACCCACTATTGAGGATTTGAGGAGACACACTTTTGGAGCTTGGTGATCATGATGCCTCTCATCACCTCATCCGATTTTCAGAACTTTATCTCGGAAATCGGATGAGGTGGATTTTTTTTTTTCAAGTCGGTCAAATCGAGAAAATGTTCTCTCATCTGGTAGTGACTGGTAGGCAGAGTAGTGAGGTTGAAAAAACTGGCTTATGTAAGCTCAGCCAACTTCTTCAATTGTTATATATTAGATTTTTTTTTTTCAAAAAGTTATTGATGGAAGTCAAGACCACCATGTTGGACATCTTCATGAGTTTTTACCTCAGCTTTCAAGAAATCCACAAGCTGGATTTTCTATGATTCTTGGTGCAAACAAAAAAACAGCCAAAAAAACTTGACTGTGACACCCAAACACATTTGTTTTGGGCTCAAGCCCCTCCCGCACTTTGTGCGTTTGACAGAGAGGCTGTACAAGCTTGTCCAAGAATAATCAATAGGTGTCAATTTAAAGGCTCTGTGAGTGTTCATTGGAATATAGGCTAATATGTAGCTGGTGATGAGGGCTTGCTTGGACACCAGGTGGGATCCTCATCTTTTGCTCTTTCAGGTCCCTGCACTGCCAAAGTGATTGTATCAGATTGCTACGTCTGGGGGGTTGATAACCGCACGCCAACCCCCATGGCGCACACCAATCCGCACGCCAGGCGCAGATTGGCGTGCGGGCCTGCACGCCACAGAAGTTTGGCGTGCGGCCTCGCACACCAATCTGCTGCAGGGGAGGTTGGCCTGCAGTTGGCGTGCAGGCCTGCACGCCCAACTTTAGGTCCTAAACGCATATTTATATGCGTTTAGGACCTGGGCTGTCCCATAGGACCCAGGCATGGGTCCTATGGGACGGCCCGCCGTTGATTTTTTTTTCTTTTCTTTTTTTAAACCCCCTCGGCCTAGAGAGGCCGAGGTCACACCGCCGGGAGGAACCCCTCCCGGCGAGCCTGTGTACATGCCAGCTCGTCAGAAGGGGTTCCTTCCGACGAGCTGGTACATGATCCAGCTCGTTGGGAGGCGTTCCTTCCGACGAGCTTGGATTATAATCAGCTCGCCGGGAGGAACCCCTCCTGACAAGCTGGTACAAAATCCAGCTTGTTGGGAGGGGTTCCTCCCGGCGAGCTGGTTGAAGATGCTGGTTCCGATGTTGAAGCTGGTGGATTCCTAAGAAACCAAGGCCGAGGTGGAAGCTGGTGGGTTCATGACCGAGGAAACTGCACTGGATGTTGAAGATGACCAATCGATTGACCACAGCAAACCAAGACCAACTGAAGATTGAGATCGATCCACCTCATCGCAGAAAGTTTCAAATTATATTGATATTCGAAGAATTCCAGACGCGCTAAAAATGTTAAACTTACCTCACCGGAATAGTGAAATATGAGAAATCTTCGAGAATGCGGCTTCCTCGGATGAAGGCGAGCAAACTGATCAACAAGCTCGATCGTATCAACGGAAAGAGAAGCTCATAAGTCGGATGAAATTCTCAAAAGTCTGTGCCGTCTTGATGATGACCAATGGGAACGACGATAACCTGGGGACGGATGAAATTGATGGGACTGATCAAGACGATCGAAGAAAAGAGCGGGTTGAGGAAGATGAGGATTACTATATCGACCAGGGTTCTTCAGACCAAGGCTCTTCAGCCTCAGACTATCAACCCGATCCTCCTCAAGGTGGCCCTTCTGTCCGTAATCGTAGCAGAAGAAGTGCCAACCAAACCCCTTGATCAAGAACCTCTGCCGCCTCTGAATGTTATCCGCTGGTTTTTATACCAGCTCGTTGGAAGGAACCCCTTCCGACGAGCTGGATCATGTACCAGCTCGTCGGAAGGAACCCCTTCTGACGAGCTGGCATGTACACAGGCTCGCCGGGAGGGGTTCCTCCCGCCGGTGTGACCTCGGCCTCTCTAGGCCGAGGGGGTTTGAAAAAAAAATCAACGGCGGGCCGTCCCATAGGACCCATGCCTGGGTCCTATGGGACAGCCCAGGTCCTAAACGCATATAAATATGCGTTTAGGACCTAAAGTTGGGCGTGCAGGCCTGCACGCCAACTGCAGGCCAACCGCCCCTGCAGCAGATTGGCGTGCGAGGCCGCACGCCAAACTTCTTTGGCGTGCAGGCCCGCACGCCAAACTTCTTTGGCGTGCAGGCCCGCACACCAATCTGCGCCTGGCGTGCGCCATGGGGGTTGGCGTGCGGTTATCAACCCCCCTACGTCTGGCATTACATCAGATAGAAATACCTGGTATTACATCAGGAAAAACTGGGATTGCATCTACCAGAATTGATATTATATCTACCTAAAATGATATTGTGTCTATCATGAAAGATATTTCATCAGACCATCCTATTCAATGTCAGCATAACTGAATTCATATCAGATTTTTCCATCTGATTTAATGCCCATGGGCTAAAAATTTGTATCAGATGTAAAAAATCTGATATAAAATCAGTTATTTTGAGATTAAATAGGTTGGGCTGATGCAATATCTGTTATGATAGATATAACATAATTCTAGGTAGATATAATATCACTCCTGATAGATATAATACCAGTTTTGCCTGATCTAAAATCAGATTTTTTCATCTGATGTAATGCCAGATGTGGGAATCTGATATAATCACATTTACAGTGCTGGGACAGCTGGTGTATGTGAGAGTGTTATTTTGGTAAAGGGTGATCTGGCCAGGAATTTTAGCCACCACCCCCAAAAGCAAGGCAATGTGGGCTCATTGCCATGCTCAAACATTTATGTAAAACTACTTGTATACACCACAAACAAAACTAGAACAATTGCTGAATGTGCTTATTCTATGTTTTTTATATCCTCCTAAATTTTGACCTGCAACACCTTATGTATATTTTTAACTTTCACCTTGAATAACCCCTCAAAAGTGAGCAGCATCACTTAAAATGTCACCTGTTTTGTGTATAGAATTCATGTGTTGTGGGGATGTTATTAATTTTCCCTCCCATGGCATCTTGTACTCTTCCTTTTTGAAATCTATACAAAAACACCAGCTGCTGCCAAGGAATGATGAATCTGGAGCTGTTCTTCTCCCCAAAGATGTAAATTCAACTTTATAGTTACCATTTTTCTAGCTTATGGCCAAATAGTGAAAAACAAGTTGCTATGTCATCTTCCTTGAATCTACAGGCTCCTCCTAGATGTATATTGCCACTTGGTTTCAGCTCCACAAAGACAGTTGAGTGGATAATTTATCAGTAAATGTGATACATTCTGGCACTGTGATCTCCCACTTTTGGTGGCAGAATGTTCACCCACCAAGCTCAACCCTTTTTGAATTCAATCCTTTTTCATTTATAAGTTTTATAAGTTATAACCATTCTTATTCCATTCCTGCTTTCTAAGAATTTACTTTTCACTGGAAAACAAAGTTATACCTTGCAAAATCAGATGTTTTTATTGTTGATTTTGTGTTTTTGCACAATTTCATTTTTTTGTGTTTCCTTTCTCACATTCATTCTTTCAACTTGGGAACCTATTTTCCACCAAGCCTCATGAATTCAAGTCCTTGATCACCTTTTTGAGCCACCTGTGAGTGATTTCTTTTGTGATTTTTATTTCTTATCATTCATTTCAGTTCCAATATTGTCATTCCTGGTCTTGCTTTTCTTGAAAAATGATGCAAGGTTTTTCTTTTGTTTTTCTTGTTATTGATGCTTATATACCTTAGAACCATGATTTAGGTGTGTGGGGATTGATTTATATTCATCCTTTGCAGCAAATCTTCCACCATTCCACAAGGCCTCAGGACTTCAAGTCCTTGATCTACCTTTTGGTGCTGAAAACAAAATTGAGATATACATGTGGGGGGAGGATGTACATCAAAAATGTAAAAATAATAATTCAATAGCCAAAAGAGGTGGATTATGAGCCATTCTTAGTAACTTACACTGTTTGACAGGCAGAATGTCCATGCCAGCAAATTTTCAAAGGCAACAATCAAAAACAATGATAATAAAATTACCACAAGACAAGCAAAGTCAACACATTGTAGATACTGGTAAGCACAAGATAACAGCAGAATTTATACAACCTCATGGTAGCAGTCAGTAGTTGGTTTGGGGATAGGATAGAATTTGATTTTAACACTCTAGACAGCATCAATATTTAGAAGTAGAACACAATGGACTGCTCATGTGGCAGTGACAGCCCGAGGAATTTTAAAATTTTGCGCTGGGAATCGGTCTTGGACGCAAGCAAGGAAGTCGGATGTAATTGCTTGCGCAAGTTGAAGAATTTGCGGCTCGCGGAAGTTGAAGAGAGAGTTGGGAGTGAGAAAAGAATCAATGAAAAGGTTATCGATATATGCGCCAAGCCTTTTCCAAACGGGTTCCAAACCCTCGCGTTGAGGAATGTTTTTGGTGAAGATATGTTCCACAGCGCTCAAGAAACCCAAAGCCGATGCCCCTGAGGCGAACTGCCGATCGTGGGGAGCCAAGATAAGCCCACGCACGCCGGCCACGAGGTAAAGGCAGAAAGGGGTGTAGTTGTGTCGTGAGCGGTGTTTATCCAGCTCCTTCCTTTGCACAACTAACGCTTGACTTTCAGTAGAAGCTGTGCCGGGTTCGATATCGGCGGCCGCAGACCCTCGAATGATCGAGTAGGTGATGAAAATGTCTATTATGAGGTCGTGTAGCTGATACAAGGGCTTCAGCGTCATGTCATTGCGCATCTTACCGTATTCTGAATTCGATGCCGATGCGGAAGTCTTACGGCTATTGAGATACTCGAGAATGCGCAAATGGGAGTCGAGGTTGTCCATGTTCAAGTCGGTTAATGAGGTTGGTTTAACAGCAAATTCCTGTGCAGTTAATTGGATAGAAGACGCGATGCAGTTGGACCATCGAGACAAGACGAACTTTGACGGTTTTTGGATTTCCTGAAGTAACAGGGCAAGGGGATATTCGACATTGCCTTGTAATTTCAACTCGGCCGGGTCGACTGACTTGAGGTTCGAGATATTGATCAAGCGAGGCGCATACCAAGGCTCATCATCTGACGGTAACAATATAGTGTCCACTAGAGGCGCAAAAAGAAACTTTAGCTGATGGAACTGTGAAGAAAAGAGGACAATCAGCCACAGTGTAAGCAAGACTTACAATACTTTTGGATCTCTTTCAGCCATGCGTTGTGAGAAGACTCCGAGTGAACCATGGTGAACTGAGGCAATTCGGGTGGTGGGGTCCGCTTGTGCATAGATTTGGCTCGGCAATCAATGAAGGCGTGGACGGCAAGGTGGGCTTGCTTGAACTTTTGACGGTTGAGATAACCCTGGAACGTGTTCAAGATCGAATGGACTCCGGTCCTGGTGGTGTCATCTGAGATGAGGCTGGGAATACTCGGGGGGGGTGCAGGTGTGGACGGATTGGTATTTGGATTCCCAGGAGCCGCGGAATTGGTGTTTGGGTTCGGGGCGGAGGCAGACTTGAAAATGATGATGGGGGGGGGTGGGACTGGAAGCACTCTCGGTTGATTGGTGACCCCGACCGGCCCAGTCGAAGTTGAACCAGGCTGGGCAATTGAGCTTGGGTTAACATCCGACGCCATTGAGGATTGGGAGGCCGGATCGATTGACTTCGTGGGTTCAGTTGAGCTGGGTATGGACGTGGTGGTGCCTGCCCCCTCGCCCGCCGAGTTAGGTAATAACGGAGTGCTAGTAACCTCTGGCTCAGTCAAGCTTGGGCTGGCGGAACTGAAGGAGTCGTCGGGATCAGGAGTCACTCCAACGGTATCGTGCGTAGTGGGAGGTGCTACTGGAAAGGTGAAGACGAATGGAGCTGTTAAAACGTTTGAACAAGACAAGGAGCAATGATTGAGAACCTACAGGTATGTCCGACAGGCGACTTATCTTCTCCACTACCATGGTCATGCAGGTTGTGCTCGGCTGAAGTTGCGGAAGGATCGGTGGGATTGGTGGGACTTTGGTTGGGATTATCTTGTTTGTCCAACGGTTTCTTGTTCACCTTGCGCCTGCGCTTTGTGGACGGTTTAGACTCAGACCGTTCTCGAGCGAAATATTCCTTGTGGGTTTCGTCGTCGGGCTCGTTGGTCAGGTCTATTAAATCCTCAGGAGGGATTGGCTTCCCTTCGGTAACATCTGGGAGGAGTTGGGGAGTCAATACTATACAATAAATGAGGAATGAACAGTGAAATAATGACCTGATTCACCTTGCTTTCTTTTTCTGCACTGCTCATGCATCTCTCGGAGCCCAGAAATGATGGTCGCAGGAGGAACGGGAACAGATGCCGAAAGACCCAACGCCTGCTGCAGTATTTCCTCGAGCTGGGAGCAACTGGTAACATACTCCTGTTTGCCGGCTTGCCTTCTCTCACTGCGCAAAAGCGTGGGTGGCGAACTTGATTTGAAGTTGGCATAGGCTTCAAGCGAAGGGGCAGGTCCTTTAAGGGTATCTAAAGCTAAACAAGAGCAAAATCAATAATGAGGGAGGTGGTTGGGCAGTATGAGACGTACCAGAAGTGGATTTGCCATTCGCTGTGTCTTGTTGGACATTCGGGACGGTTTCGTTTGGCGGGAGGGATTGGTTTGGTGGGAGTGACTGGTCGGAAGATGGAACGGTAGCCATTGAGCCGCAGGGGAATAATGACGGATTGCGATTAAACAGGCAAATGGGGAGATTGAATAAAGTAAGGAAGATCGCGTGAGAGGGGGAAAGAAGATGAGAGGGACAAAAGTCGCAGCCTTATATATACCTGTGGAGCCTGTGGACTGGGTGATGGTGAAGGAGAGATTAGAGCAGCCGATGCGGATTAAAGGTCGCCAGCAAGAAAATCTGCTCAGTGATGATGACCGTCTGGGCAAAGCGGGCATCATGGCGTGAGGTCAGCAGGAAAGCTCGCGTCAAAGGAAGCTGTGCGCCTAAAAAAGTACAAAAGTAGCCGAGATGATGATCGCATCATTCATGTATCTACCAGGCTAGCACACAAAGCAAAGGAAGTAAGTTGAGCTCAAAGGTGTAGACGAGACAGCAACAACCATGAAAGTCTGAAAGGAGAAGATACATACATAAATCTGTGGCTAGAAAGGTGATGTTAAATTAGAATCGATGGTCTCTCCCCCATTGGTAAAGGGGATGGGGCGCTGACCTCAGGTCGATAATCGACAAGAGTACCTCATACTGCGTGTGACCGAGCTGTGAAAATCAGAAACTCCAAGGTTGGTTAGCGGGGTGTGGTGATGGCCTAAGCATTTCAAAGTGCAGCAAACTTACTGCGGGAGGACATAAGCTGATTGCCGAGACACTTTAGACTGTCAGTCAACAATCATCCCGGGGACAGATCTTTGGGTCTATTTGGCCAGTAAAACAAGGCGGCGTGCTGTGTTGTGAGTGTGTATGTGCATATTGATGTGTGGATGGTTGTAGGAGCCATCAGTCGGATGAGGGCCCCTGAATGGTACTTATCAGATATGTACTTCGCATGCAACTGGCACTTAAGAAGGCCAGGTATCTAAGTGGTCCGGTCCCAGTGCCGTATGAGATTCCAGTGCCGTGTGAGATTCCAGTGCCGTGTGAGATTCATGCCCGTGACTGGAATTCATAACTAACCCTGGTGCCATTCAGACGATCGTCCAAGCCGAGGTGGCCTTTCTAAGTGCACCTAAACCAATCAGCAACAGGCAAGCAGTAGCATCATGTGAGTGTGGCTGGGTCTGTCTTCATGCTGGGTTGCTACTTGGACGATCGGCCGAGTTCCAAGTACAAGGTTAAATGTGAAATTTTTAACCGCTCACCAGACACATGCGACCACAGAGGGGGATGGCACAGTTAAACAGTGCCTAAATTGAGGAAGTATGTATTCAAGTCCAATACGAACTGAGGACTCTGATGCCAACTGGTTGAGTCCGCTCTTGTGTTGGACGATCGTCCAAAGTCGGGATTCTCAGCAAGGCCGCACGTTTGCATTGCGTTCACTGCATACTTGTTTCCAAAATAGCGTGAGGGATGCGTGTACTTCATTGAAACGGTGCCTGGATCGCCATTGGTACAATTAGCACCCTACCGCTTTCCAGACAGCTATCTTGCTGGGTGGCACCAGAGATCGTCTATGAGCCCTGTCGCTCCCTCCCTTCCCATGCCCCGGTCTCGAACGACGAATACACAGCAACACTTTGCGAGTTTACTTCCTGTCTGAATGGTGGACATGAGTGAATTGGTTTTGTGGGGTCTCTCCACTACAGATGGAGGCTTCACGTGTTCACATTCACCGCAGTACACTGTGGAGTCAAAGACTACACTTCACGAATGACAAGACAGCGATGCAACCCGGACAATCTTAAAGTAACTTAAAGTAACATATGCACAAAGAAGACTAGAGAGGCGAAGTCCAGGACTTACGTACATTTATGGGCTCCAAGATACGACAAAGGGTTGTATTTCACCGCTTTGGGTCCATTTTCAGTGAGCCCGCCTTTGTAGTAAACGTGGAGGTATGATAAACCTGTGCGCGGTGAAGCCGCAACAAGGCTCAACATCTTGGCCCCAATTGATTGGTATGTTGGATCTTCTTGTATCCATCTACCCCCCTCGACCATTGGACTCATTCATCCCTACACCATCTTGAGTGACCCATCACTATTCTACCCTCCGTTAGCTTGATCTCTGCGCCAGCGACGGGTGAGGCGCCTCGATATTATTTATCATGGATGATATTTTCTTCACGGATGAGGCGAGCGATGATGATCATACTGAAAGACGGGCTGGAGGTGATTGAGTTTTGCTCTCCAACTAATGTGTACTCAACGGTCTGACCTCCATTGGATTGGATTGCTTGCTTCATTGTTATCTTTGCAGAGGTCCCACTCGAAACCCTAGCTGAGGGCAGCAACCGTCGTCGAACGACCGCCAAAAATCGCACTCAACAGCGACAAACAGCCCAAAATTTATCCAAAATTATAACGCAGGCAACAGACGAGAAGCCTCATCACCGTGAGAAAGTCTTGCGTAGTCTTCAGACTTTTACTCGGGCTATGATGGGCCTATCACCTGATGCTAAGCCAGAAGAACTTCCAACAACGGCATCGGCAGAGGAACTCGCCTCTTGGGACACGTGGAGGGAGCGTCGCAAGGACGCGTTTAGTCAACGTTTGAAAGAGGCGACCGATAAACACCCGGACGCGAATGAACAGGAAATCAAACACATCCGTAAAAGGGTTATTGACCAGCTCAAAAGTCGTCTTGTGCCAGTGACGTTCCACGCTTCTCCCTTTGCCGCCAACTCGGCAGTCTCCATCCACGTGAAGAGGGAAATGGAAGCCGACTTAGCCAAGCATGGATTTCCCCGGTTCACTTTTAATTGGGATGCTGCGTTTGCACACGATGTCTTGTGGAACTCGGTGGCGGTTGACATTACGGTGCGGAACTGGGTCCCGTGGGCGAAGCGCACCCACGTTGATGTTGTTGAATCCGCAATACCGGGCATCAAGACTCGTTTTTTCCAGTGGATCACCAATCAAGGGGTGACCAGGGCGAAGTTAAAGCTCACCCCCGCCGACCTTGCCGCGCAGAGGAAACAAGCGCAATACGAAAGATCTACAAAGAGGAAGGTAAGATAATGTACCACCACTAGGTTGTCTCCGAGTGGATCACCACCAATTGGCCAAGCTGATACTTCCTTTAACGTAATTCAGATTGCCACACTGCGTGCGGACACTTTTCTAGCAGTCTACCCGGACAAGAAGATCCTGGGACACTTACTTCGTGACCCGGATGCAGTTTCTGACTTCGAAGAAGACGATGCGAACTCCATGCCGACACGAGTCAGTGCACATTGGCGCAGCCGCGGCATGGAGGCCATTGTTCGCTCTCTTGACCAAGTCGCGTTGAAGCGCGCCAGATCCACTCAAAAGAAGATGTCTGTGAGAGGCCTTCTGGACCGAAAGGACGTCCGAGCGCCGACAGATGAAGAGCGAAACAACCAACTTGTCCCTGCCCGCTTCCCCAAAGATGCGTACGACAGCAACTATCTACTTGAACAGGGAGAATTCCAAGCAGACTATATCACTACCGAATCAATGGATATAGAGAATCTCGGGATGGAGATGGTTAGGAAATCATTCGGGACGGGTCGTTGCTCACTCGCGGATAATGGCTCCTCTGGTCCAACTCGGCCTCCTCCGCCAGGAACTCATGCAACTACACAACAGCCGCTGGCCACGGCTACCGGCAATACGGCGGGGCCCTCTGGGTCTGAGGTGCAAATGTCGGAATAAACGGAATAAAGGTGAGATCTGATGATCAAGTTAATATCCTTTAATCAAAACTGATTACAGCTCTTGACTGCGGGTGTCATCTGGCGTGGACAGACAGGTAGGGGGTGGCAAGAAGGGGATACAGGAAAGGTGTACACTCGGAGTGGCGAGCCTTTTTGGACGGCAAGCGGAAGTTGTGGATGGTGGTATAGATATTTACAGTCTTGATGATATAAAGCCGGTGAGATCATACCACCCAAAAAATTCGCGGTATGACTCCAGTTCAATTTCTACATTCATAGTTACATATAAGCGCCGTTGATGGCCAGTCTGACTTGTATAAACTGTAAAGGGATGTATGATCTGATCTCAGAGGAAAGATACATGTATGTAGAGTATCACACGGTGCTATCCTATGGGATGTTCGATGTATATAAATGAGTCTGGGTGATTGATGGAATGGGTTGGTCAAGGTGGAGGAGTTAAAACAAGATGCCATTTTTGTTTGTTGAATCACTCGTTGTTGCCGGCGGTAATTTGACCTTTGGCGATGGCCAATTGGTATGCTAAGGTTTGCTCCTTTGGAAGAGGTGGTCCTGTGGGGAAACAAAAGGGCAGTCATACGTGAGTCATACATTGAGCCGCCATGCATGTGGGGAGAGATACTAACCTCTGCCGAGTTCGGCACGGCGGGCTACCCACAAGGCGTGAAAGTTGGGCATTTGTGAGCTGCCCAACTGCATGCATTCTGCCTCCCGCATGACCCCATCATACCAATGATGCATGTGCTTCAGGGCACGATCATCTGCCAGGACCTTTTCAAGGGGCGTCCTGGCGTCGTGGTTGGGTTCGAGTTTCGTGTTAATTTTATCCTTCATGGATGCAATTACCCCAGCCAACCATTGCTGCTGGGCAACGGTGAGATTCTTGGCGACGGGACGGCCTTGTGAGGGCGCAATTGTATGATCCATTGACGAGGGTGGTCAAATGTGAGGTAGGATATTGAGCAGGGAAATTTGCATGCGGACACTGCAACGATGGATGGGTGGAGGCTCATTTTATGTGGGGAGGCTCAACCGTGCAGCTGGTGGGCGGAAGAGGCCTCGTCGCATGAAAGCGGCCGCCAGATGAAGCATCTTCAAACGTGCGTCCAGGAAAACGAGGGGCAGGTCGCCCAATGGTTTTCCTTGACGCACGTTGTAAAGCATACGGAAATGTGTTTCGAAGGGGAGCAAGGGGCAGGTCACCCGATTGGGAGATTGCAGGGGAGTAAATCCACAATCAGTACGGGCACCGGAGTATAGGCGGTTGTTTGAGTTTTGACGCCCGGTGGGCTACTCTCATGACACTCAAAGGGGTAAAAATTCAACAGGCCATGAATGATACGTGGGGGACAGCAATAGGATCATACCAATGCTCAGAACTCGACTTGTCATCACCTACTGCCAAACTATGGTGCAGGGGGGGGGGGGGAATGTCGAGGAAGGGTTTGGACTGGCTGCCCGGAGAACAAACATGTGAGGCCTTGGCGATCGCGACACAGGGGGCAGAACTGATAAGGGATCTGTACCAACGGGCCCACATTTGTTTAACTCCAAAAAGCGGCTCTAACATCGGGGCGTGGGATTGATTAGCCC